TCTTCACGAGTGATAATCACCGGCCAAAAAGGGGTCCCGTTTGCGTTCTCTTGATGGTTCTCCGTACTTTTTGCCAATGGTGCACCCATGAGCACCCCCCACGTCCCCACTAAACCCCTTTATCGCCTATCATAATCGCTGTCTTTAACATGTACCACAAGAAGAGTGAAAACACTAAATTAGAATTCGACTAGACCTGCAAGCCACTGCAACCAAATGTTTCTTGAAGAGGCACTACGATTCTGAATAAGAATCGGGTGCATGGCTCACCTATCAAAAACTGATCAGATGATCAATTATGACATCATCTTTTCTTTAGTTATTCACCTTGAGAAAGATAAATATTCATTGATTATTCAGTTACCATTGCACTTTTGCTCTGCTACAGTGGACAGGTACATTTTTGGCTTAGAAAACGAGAGCGGCGTTATTATGCCTACTTGTCAAACAATTAGCTAGACAATTTTTACTAAAGTGTACCTCAAATAAAAAGCTGCCGTGCCTTGGTCCGGGCATAAAATCTGCAAACATAAAATTCTTAAGGTACGCTTCTACACTTAAGCGCCGGGCCTTTACGCGTTCATCTGTGCTCCATTACTTATATGTAATTTCTGTAAACATACAAATTGCTAGCACCACAGAGAAAATTACATGAAATATAATACATACATACAATAATCTTACCTAAGACACCTCAGAGCGCCTGTACTTATGTTAAACGAACCTGTGAGGAAGGGACGCCTCAAAACCCCGTGAGAGAAACTGCGGGACTTTCCCTATGAAAAGAGGTGGGACCTGGACGAGTTTTAGAAGGCGAGCCTGAAGCCAATATTCAACCTCTAGCTGAAGCCGTGAAAAATTCAAGATGTAGTCGTATATAACATCACAAATGCGTCCAATCGGATCAATATTAAGGGTAGCAACGACATCACAATTTGAAAATCTATTTCACAATTTGAACACGGACATATGGCGACCGATCAATATGTGCGATGATGTGCAAACAAAGGAAAAATAGCGAAAAGAACTTCGGTCGTTCCTTGAAGTGAGACGATCTCAATGGTCTGAATCAGGGTTAAGCATGCGTCAGGACAGGCTCGGGGTAGCGTCTGACTTGTTTGGGGAGGCGGTCGCAGTGGGGAAATAGGTTGGGAGGGTTCGTTCAAGATTTTTCGGGGAAATGAAAATTTCCAGGAAAATTTCTAAAGAAGTAGGGATTTCTAACGCGTATGGAATGTAAAGGAGGTGTTCAGAGAATAATGGGAAGAGTGGTCGTTGTACTTCAGAAATTCTAAAACGCCATGTTCGACCCTGGTCTGAACTCAAGCTTTAAGAGCGAACAGGGAGCGGGCCAACATGATGGAAAAAAATTATTTCGCATGCAGAAATGGTGAACCAAAGCATTCTTGAAGTTGCAGTAACTAAATAAACGAGAAGTAAACTAATAAAGTCAGCATGACCATGAAAATCCTTGTCACCTGCTTCTTGTGGGATCCACTCCACTTTGTATGAAACGTCGTCGAGAGCTGTCACCACACCATGGCGCTGTTTTCCCGAAGGGGCTAAAGAAACAGAACGAAATATTCCCGAAAACTCAAACATTGACGCGGATGCATCGCATTCAAAAAAGGCGCAAACCGAGCGAGGCACATAAATAAGGATGAGAAGCAAAAAAACAAACAAAAAGAAATGAACAAAAAATTAGAACATTCAACACTTACAAAGCTGGACCTCGTGAGACGATCACAAAGCATCTACACACATACACGTAGCTGACGGCACCAGAACAACACGATCCAAGGCACTTCTGGAAGCCCAGTTGTCGTCAAAGTGGCGACATTCCACTCGGTGTCACTTCAGATTTGCCTCCGTCCATTGCTTCAGCGCTATTGTGAAAACCAAACGCTGGTTAAGCCAGGCTTGGGTGAGGAAATGGAAAAAAACGTGAACGAACTTAACGAATCACTTTGTGGGGACGGACACACACATTCACACCTACATACATCACACACACGTATATAAAGGCACATTGCATCCAGATTGATTCTGGACCTACCATAAATAAAATAGATAATAGAACAGCTATACAAATAAGCAAGCGATGGCTTGCTGCTTCTGGTTTTCACACCTTTGAAGGAAACAGTATCAGTAGCAGCACTAGCTGCGTTTTAAAGGCAACGAGAATTTGGCCGGCGATTGAAAGTGGAAATCTGATTCGCAAGGTGGTGCGGCAGTGAAGGAGAAAGCAAAAAATTGAAAGTCTTCTTGAAGCCGGTTGATTTTTTTGGAGCGGGGGGGGGGTCAAGATTTCACAGGAGTTGGAGTATTCAACGTAAAACTGTGCTTTTTATCTCCGCTGTAAGTGCTGGAGCGCAGAATAATAAAGCCTAGCGGATGTGTCAGCTATTGAAGTCAAAGCGAACCTCGAAGGATGAGCGAAAAACGCGTTAGGAGCTGCTGAAGATCTTCGAACGCAGCTTTCGCCGCTACTAACAGACTATGTAGCTCCAGCATCTTGATTCCTTTCATAGTAGCCGTATAGACTATTCATGAACAAAAAATATCGTACCTAAGCCATTAAAGTCCTAGTTGGACCACTAATGTAGTTATTTACGGGAAAACAGAATGAAAGCAGAAATTTCTGAAAGACATAACGCTGCATGCGAGCAATCGGAAAGAGTGAAAACCGGAACTCCTGTGATGGTTGTCATACCAGTTTATATTCAAGAGTCAGAAGTCATGTTCCATGATAATCTCACTGGTGTGAACTATAGCGCTATAAAGCGAAATTGGAGATTTTAGACAAAGAAGAAAGCAGACGAAGTCGCTGAAAACCAGTAGGATGAGATTTAATTTTTGCAGATTTCAGAAGCTGCACGAGAGCTTAGAAAACACTGAAATTCCCTTTTGAGTCCTTCTTCGCGGTATGACGGAGAGACAGAGCGCTGAGAGGAGAGGGAAAACGCGAGAGAACACGTATGCAAGAGGAGGCAGAAGCCATGTAGGCCGCGATTGATAAAGATGGTAGTGCTCTTGGGCCCCGATAGTATCACGTCTCCCGGGCTTGCTGACCCCTTCTCCTCACTCAACGAGGTAGCACCTCTTGGCACGTATTCCCGACTCGTGGCTCTAAAATTCTCATTGTCATACCGCATTTAATGGCAATCTCCAATGTCATGTGAATTGCAAAACTCTAGGTAATGACACATCGCCTTGATAGGACCGACCCTAGCGCTTAGTGAGAGCTATGTGTCGAGCAAATTTACCGTCCATACGAGTTTCCAGCTAGGGTTTCACAGTCCCTCTAGTGTGACTCTCATCCGGTACTTTTTTCACGCTCTATGATAGGGTTTGCTGGTTGAGTTGGTAATTCTACCTCTTCGTCGAACGTTTGATGAAGGAGGAGGGTGGAAAAAGAAGGGTTTTTTGGAACAGGAAAAAATACCAGAAGTTCTATCAAATTTCTAGAATTCCGTAGAGAAACTTTGGAAAAATCCTCAATCTTTCCAAAGTCTCCCCTTTCTACCTGAATTAATGGTATCCCTTGTTTTTCAAAGAAACCAATCGTTCGTCGAAATATGACTTCTTCCACGTAGAGGAATCATGGACCTTGGTTCATCTTGCTAGACCCCCTTGTTCATTAGCTATGAGCCACTAAGCTGGGAGCGGTCTACCAAGTTATGCACGAGGTAAATCGTTAACGTGAAGGTGGATTGTCCCTTTGAATGAGGATTGCACGATAAGGTCGGAGGTCGAGGAATTGGAATTATACAAAGTTATGAGGTAGGCTTCGACCACTGAATACAACTTCAATCATGCAAAACTGCGAGGACGATAATGAGAAGTTTGAGGGTATATAATTCTTTGATTTGATGGGTCTCAACTTAGAGGAATCCTTCACGGAAAAATCATGATTCTATTTCGGTCATAAATCACTGGCTTGAGATTCATCAACCACGGTAAGAATGAAAAGAACAGAGAAATTGCATTTGTTTTGGTAAAAAATTCGAAAAACTGAAAGGGTTGCTACCCGTTAAAAGTACCGCCGCACATCTGTCACAAATGCTGGCAACGGGAGTGCTTCCATTTGGTTCTCCGAGTGACGCCACTAGAAACTCTTTCTGGCCTTTTGACTTATTGCATCAACATCTCACACTTCTACTGCCCACTATTCCAATGATCCATTTGTCTCTACTCTCCGAAACCGCACGCTTTAACGATTCTTTCGTTGCATCACCTGATACATGGGCGCCCAAGTGCAGAATTATTTCATGTCCCCTCTTTGGCTCAGCCCGAATTACCTTCGATTGTTCATAGTGTGATTTTTGTAAATTAGTTTCTCTTCGGAAACTGATCCTTGTGCGTGAAACTTTGTATGTTGTCCCTAGTTACCACAACTGACACATTCATGTTGAGAAAGAATGCAAGAATTTCCCGCAAAGGATTCCTTTAACCCTTTGACGACCGTGTGGCCCGCCGGTGGGCCACACTTTCGCTCGGTGGCGACACTTTTTTAGGGGCTTATTTTGGCATTTTTTATGTTTCAAAACTACACAAATACATCACCGAATTTGCGGAATAATGCGCTAATTAGTAATAGTGAAACTGTTGGAGAGTTAATGATTATTGATGAAAAATTTAGAAAGAGGCGAAGTGACGCATTCATAACGGCGGTCGTCAAAGGGTTAAGGATGTAAGGCGCGTTTCGCAGCAAAGGAACTGCATTCAGAGGCCTCGTAGGGCCATGCTCGCGCCACGGCACGCCCTCCCTCCTGCTTTCTGATTTAAGCCATCTAGCAGAAAGGAGATGAGCCGATGAGAGTCGCATCAATGGGAAACCAACAGGCAGAGAAGGGGTTCAATTTCATGGATTCTGAATCGTTTCTCATAGTTTTTGCTTCCTCCCGCACCACTTACCACATCTACCTTGACTTTAATGGGCTGCCTTTTCATCGTAAACTCTGACTGAAAGCCTGACAGCGAAGATGTTCAAGAACCAGAAGCAGCAGTATCGGCAAAAAGAAAAGGCTTGATAACAGAATAACCATGCCTGTGATCTCGACGCTAACGTCATTTGGAGCTGCTGCTGCCGCATGGATCATAAATGATGCCGGACGGCCAACTGACGCTCCACGTAGTTGTTCGCCAAACACGGAAACTGCTGATGCATCAGCAATGTCGAGAATGAACGGAGACCCTAAATTAGCATACTGCAACACAGTACAAAGTAAACCTGACAGCTGTATCGAACGATCAAAATTACTCGTGGCATGTCAGATAGCGGAAAATCGTTTGTAGTCGCAGTCGTGGGTAAAATGGCGCAGTTCAGGAAGGACCACCACTTTTAACACATTCACGACGACGCCCCTTTTCCACTTTTCGGTCGCGTGGGACGGAAGCGATTTTGTGGGCGCCGCCGCCTCACCACATAACGGCAGATTTTGTTTTGTAAATGAACAAAAACATGAATGTCACAAAATAATTTCTGCAATGTCCAATGCGTAAAGATTACCTAAACATATAACAGTAGGATTTCGATCAGAATGACAAGTAGTGGTTACGAAAAGAGAGCATTTCTTCACTTCCCCGTGAAGGAATTTAAAAGCATTTACACTCGATTGCGAGGTTTACCCACCAATCTGTCCATTCCTAGCGCCTGGCAAGCGATCGTTTCAGGAGCGCATGTTTTGGCAGCCCATATGGGCGGCCATCGGTGTGAATGTGTTAACTTCAGCTGTTCGCAACTCGAATCTCGCTTAAAGGCAATGGTCACGATGGCTGGAGGGTGCTTTGGTTTAGTTACCGTCAGTGAACGTGACTAGCGGCCAACGGCACCCCCAGCGTGCTAAGGAGTCTAGTCCACCAACGGCTCAAACGTGCGTGACAAAATGTCCTTCTCCTTTGGATCCAAGCTTTACATGGACGAACGTCTAAGCAAGGTGAAGTTAAACTCTGTTTGGCGAATAGCTTCATTGTTCACATGCCTAGGCTCCATGCTGACATGGATTGATGAGAACTGAAATTTCATCAAGGAAGCAGTTGAGAAAAGTTTGTCCTCCCAAGGTCATCGCTCGCAACTGCGTGGTGAAAAGCGGAAAGCGTTCAAACGTAAAATCGAAATTACGACTAGACCATGTACAACCAGCTTTTCGGCACAAAAATTCCTTTGCACCATTCCGAGTAGCGATTTGTAAATCCGTGGTCCCTCTGTGACTGTTAATCAGTCAGGATTCTTGACCAAAAAGAAAAAAGTGCGATTGTGAGACGTGTGCGGTTGCGTGCGGTGACAGGTGGTGTTCGTTCAATACAGTTTGCTTAATGATGCGTTTGGAAAGCTGGACAACAAAACCATAGCAAGACAATGTTTTTCGGCAAGCATTATTCATTTGCTTCTGAATAAATCTCAAACAATGACGGACTGTTGGTCAGGAACAATACAACTGAGAAAACCTCGGATACTTATTTACAGCCACCTCTTGACGCTCACCATTAATTCAAGGTGCTAATATCTAATAAATACAAGCTTAAGCTTATAAATAAAGTCAACTGGTACCGTACCTTTTACTTCCATTCTGTTGAACAGTACATGAATTTTGTATTGACCCGCACCGTCGGGAACGAAATTAACGCGATACACTTGAGGACCTTCTTCTTCAACCGTTGACGGTATATGGCGCCCGTGACGTAAACAGTGACCTGAAATAACCGCCGAAGATGTGCGAAAAAAATCCGTAACTGTAGGGTAATTACTCATTCAAAGAACGGTTAAATAAGATTCAGAGACGATATCACAATTACGAGCAGTTTGGATGGAAAAGGCTGCCACAAGAGAGAGAGAGAAATTGAATCCTAGAACACTATTGACGATTTACCACCTTTATGATGAATAGCGAAATCTTCCAAGAAAATCTCTCCTAAACAACTGCGGTAAAAGAGGGGACAGAATTTGTGAAAAAAATCTGTTCATAACGATGGGTGGCACGGAACAAGTGGGAATTTGAAAGTGGTTCCACGGCATATCGTCCAATTATTAGAGCCCCGCTTGCCCTTACAGGCAAGGATCAAGTAAACTGATGCAGTAATAACTCTTCTCGAATATGAAAGTAGGAAAGCGAAGTGGATCGCAAGTGAGAGTCGCAAGTGGCTTTTCATTTGATAGCACGCTTGTATACAAACGGGATAAAAAATTAAATAAGTGCTATTTTGAGCGCTTTCAACATGCAACTGTAATGGCAAACTACTTAAAAGAAAAGCATTCAACTTCTCATGAACTTTGAATTGAGACCCACATACATGGCTAGAGCTTGAACACATTCACGACGACTCCCCTTCTCCACTTTTCGGTCGCGTAGGACGGACGCGATTTTGTGGGCGCCGCCGCCTCACCACATAACCGCAGATTTTGTTTTGTAAATGAACAAAAACATGATTGTCACAAAATAATTTCTGCAATGTCCAATGCGTAAAGATTATTTGAATATATAACAGTAGGATTTCGATCAGAACGACAAATAGTGGTTACGAAAAGAGAGCATTTATTCACTTTCCCCGTGAAGGAATTTGAAAGCAGTTTACCCTCGATTACGAGGTTTGCCCACCTATCTGTCCATCCGTAGCGCCTGGCATGCGATTATCAGTTGGCAGCCCATATGGGCTGCCATCGTCCCAGGAGCGTTGTGTTGTTGGCAGCCCATATGGGCGGCCATCGGCGTTAATGTGTTAAACGCTGATTACAAACATCTGAGCTAAACTGTACTGTACTGAACTTGCCGAGGGAGTTGTGAACAGTAAAAATTGGCTCCAAGTTCAGCGTTACGTATTAACCATGCTAGCCTCAGAGCTTTCAAAGTCGCTGCGGAGTAGTGGGAGCGCTCTCAAAATTTGCACTCCAACGAGAAGAGAACTTCTGACCTCTCGGGTGGAGAGCGGGGGCACTATCGCTACTCCGCGTCGACATTGAAAGCACGGTTCATATGTAACGCTTTCCTTAAGCCAACTTTGACTGCTCACAACTGCCTTGGCAGGTTCATTTTGCAGTATTAGCTTCCACATTTGTAATCGCGTTTGAAGCTCTGTCGATATATCTGGGACTCATTTCGAAGTTCCATGGAAAGTTGAATGCTTTCCCTGGTTAGATCTTTTTGACTGTAAATCAATGAAATGTTCTTGAACGAGTGCAGGCACATCGCAACGATCAAACAATAACATACATATTATCCCTTGTTGCTAGCCAAGTATAATGATTTTTTTGTATCTATATTACGCTTGTGATTAGGCTTTTTTTAAAGTCTCTCTACTAAAAAGCGAGGCAAAAATGGACTAGCTCTAATGGAGAATTTTCTACATTAGATCACTTAGCGTAAAAGTCCTAACGTGCCCTGCAGCTGATCGAATCTGGCTGACATATTTTTCATTGAGAAAATTCAAATACTGTTCGGGCATTTTGGATTCGCCATAAGGAGAAAAAACGAAAATCACTATGAACGTTTTTCGTCGGAATAGATGCATTTGCTTTCCAATTTAGTTCTACTCAAATTTACGAAGCACCAATGAGAACTATTGACATGAATAGGCATATAAATAAACAACGAGGAAGACATTCTACAACAGAAGACAGAAGATATCATGGAAAGAGCAATTTTTATCGCAACGGAACTTGAAGAAAACTAGTCAAAGTGAAGATTGAACAGCGGCATACCACAGACATTCCGACGCTGACGGGGTTAATGGCATCATTATAGTGAAAAAAGCGTTTCACTACTCTTCAACACTGTACAAAGCAAGCTACTGACGATGTACAGCTCTATTCGGAATGCGCCACACATTCACCTCTCGATCGTAATCATGTATACAGTGGGATGGTAATGGCATCCACAAACTGCATCCGATCTCTATCTCAAGAAAAAATTTTCTGTAGTCAATTAGTTGGAGCATAATACGTAGCGCCGTCATTCGGCAAAAACGTTTAAAGCAAAACACAAAAGCAAAGCCAAGCATAAAACTGATCTGTGATGTTCTTCTCGTCATTATTTACGACTTTGGTTCCATTTCGCAAGAAATTACCGGGTTTAGAAATAAAGAAGAGTAGTAAGCCCGTTTTTAGAATCATCATTATTCTCCATTTGTGAACCACGACCACGTGAATATGATTTGAAATTAAGGGTTGACTGGAGTAAGGTTCGATGATGACGATGGATTCTGAAAAGCTCTTATTTTGGCAACTTTTTTTCTCTATATAGATTTTCGCCCACCCTGATTCTCCAACTTCTAAGCGCAATATTTGAGTACCCTTACAGTATAGAAGAAAATGCCAAACACGGGATTGTAGAGCAGAAGAAGTACTTTCAAATGATATATGTGATTCCTGAGTAATACTTGTATTCACTGAATTCGTAGCTCGAAAAGAAAAACGCTACGATATTACCCTCCACCCCAATACATAGGAGGAGCAATGGAGTGAAGTAACGGCATGTGGCGCTATTATAGCAAGCACGGTACAAAGATCAGTTCTCGAATCTAATGCCGCTCAGGCCGAAAAATCCGGCAATGTCTCCCGACCACTTAGTTGATGCTCGATCCCCTTTTCAGAGGCCACCGCGGTTCTGAACAAGAGTGGAAGAAACATTTCGAAAAAGGACTGCTAAGACCAAGTCGGTGTATTCTCCAAATAATTTAGGAAGTGGAAAAACTGTTAGGATCTATCTGAGTGAGGCCGAAGTCGCGAAGATGAATGGTTCCTCCTCAAGTACATACCCTCGCCTTCAAATAACCAGTAATTGTGCAATTGCAGAAATTGACGTGGCATTAATGTGGCATCGATTCACGAACATTTTCAAGCACACGTGATGTCACCTTTTCATCGAGCCTGTGCCACGTGGGTTTCTGTCTGCTAAATTCTCGATGAAAAGGTGACATCACGTGTGGTTGAAGATGTTCTTGAATCGATGCCACGTTAATGCCACGTCAATTTCTGCAGTTGCACAATTTCTGGTTATTTGAAGGCGAGGGTACATATGTCTCCTGGCTGGTACTCATCTTCCTGTTCACACCTTCTTCCCTCTCTCCTTCAAGCCCTACGTCCTTATGCTGGAACGGTGCTTCGATGGCTATTCCTGCCAGTCACCCTGGAAACTGGGAAATTCTCAAATAGAACTCATCTGGAAAGGTTCTAGTTCCTGATTCCAAATTTTTCACAGAAAATTTTGGAGGGTAACCTTGTCCCCGGCCACTTTCGCTGGCATTCTCTTGATCGGAGAAAATTTTAACTATCTGCTTGCTGGGTACGACGAGCAGCCATAAGAAGTAATTAGTATTGTATTGGCGCAGAGAGTGTACATGTGTACTCAAAAAATTACACATGAAATGACAGACTGTGAAAAAATTTAATCAACAGAAGCCGAGTATATTTTCCAGTCAATTCACTTGAGCATCTGCCTTTGCAGGTTGAACGCAAGGAAGGAAAAGTGAAAGTAGCGAAAAACTGATGCTTTTTCAATGGCAAATTGCAGAACTGTTGCAGTGTTCATTACCGAAGGAATGATATCACATTCTTGTGCGTCAGTTTTACTGTTACTAGTAGTCACAGAACTAGTCTTGTTTTCGTAGCAAAACGTGCCGTGGGACACTCCCAGCGCAGAGATGTTTTTAGGGACATTGGAGGAAAATTGTTGTAATCTGAAGTCGAAGAAAGAAACTGCAAACACAGCTATGGAACGTCAAGTGTCAGCGACCAGAAAAATTAGATGAGTCTTTCCGTGAGTATAATCTGTAGTGAATAAAGAATGGTAAAATTATTTACAGTATTAAAGAATTAAGGCGAATATTTCAAATTTTCAGGTCCTATCCTTTGCCCTTGATTGCCCCCTTAATTAAGGGAAATTTCAATTTTTATTCATATTATATTGTTGCCTTATTCTCTGAAAATAATTTCGGATAGTGCTTTCTCGAGACCTCATTTTAATCTGAATTTCAAAATGGGATTCCAAAAGTTTACTGAATAGCAAAAATACAAAAGGATCCCAAGAAATTCCAGGAATATTTTACTTTCACTTATTTATAATTTATTCACTCTGGAAGCAGATTAATAAATAAAATATGGAAGGGTGGTAACACATGGTTAACCTCCGAACGAGTCCTATAAGCGATTTCATCTCTAAATAATTGAGAACGGAAATTTTAGAAGTTTTAGATCTTAGAAATTTAGACATTTTAGGTATTTCAATTTCAGATATTATAGATTTTGGTTTAGAATGGAAAGAATGTTCAGTAAAAAGCAACAATACAAAAGCGTTCCAAAGGAATCCCAGGAATGTTTAATTCTTACTTATTCAGATTTCCATACACTCTGGAAAAAAGATGAAATTAAAAATAGTAGGTGATAGCCGTTGATTAACCTCCGAATGAGCCCTATTAACCATTTTGTCTTGGAATAAATGAGATGGAATTTCAGAATGTCTAAAGAATTCCCGGCAACTTTTTTTTTACTGCAAAGGAATGTGTGAACTGCAGAGCTGGTTGCAGGTGGAGGGAAGGGATAGCGCTATACAGCGCTGAGTGATAAAAGGACAATTGAGGTATGAACGACTTGTGGAAGGACTGATAATTAATAGGTGAGGAATGAGTTGAAGAGTTTTCTCGCATCGTTGAACGACGACGATAATCGCGGTAGACCAGGGACAACGGGCAGGCAGAAACGTAAGACCTGGGCCACAGATGTCTAATCATATAGTGATCAAGTGCTAGGATACGTCGGCTCGATGGTATCACACTCGCGTATACGGTGATGAGGTGACATAGAGACTCAACACAAATGAGAGATTAGACATATCACGGATCACGCAGAGATAAAAAGATGACGAGAGTATGGGAATGATGTACGAAAGAGTGGAGGAAGTCAAGGGATCAGAGAGAGGAAGAGTATGTGAGAGAAAGAGAACGGCCGCCACACACAACGGCATTCCGATCGAGCGCCAAAACCCGATCGAACTACTTGAGTCGCTGTGATAAACTGGTTATAATTGGCATCGATTTGATAAAAACATACAATTAGAAGCTGTCATATAATAGATCCTTCAAAGCGCACGGCGAGTCCTTTTAGTCCCGGTAAGAATATTGTGCCATTGATAAGTAGCCGGTAACTTCAACCTAGGCGCCCTTATTCAGATCGCATCACGTTGTAACACTTTCAAGGCGTTATAGCATTCCCCCATTATTATTGCCAACCAGATGTCAGTGAAAGCACCTCAGTATTTTCTGACATCACTAATACTTTGCAGTGATTTCTAAACCGAAAATTTCCGAAGGTGATGCCATTCTGCACCAAAAACTTCACTTCCTCTCAAAATTTTCAAAATATTGAATGCGCTGAACTTCGCAAGATTGACTGCTCTTCATCTCTTATGAGGCATTGTTTAAATAAAAAAAATCATGAGATTTGTTGACTACTGTTATTGCGAAACACAAGCCCCTTTGCTGTACAAAGGCTAGCTCGTATAAGAAAGGGAATTTAAGAATCAATGGCAGAATGACTGCTCTCGAATCTTTCCATTCGGTACGCGCCATGTGCTCGATTCTCACTAAAAATAGTAATGCTGATGGACAGATGGGGTGTACCTCAGAAGTAGTCTAACTCATGACTACTGCCAGTTAGTGCGCGTATACCTATCTCGTTCCACAAATAGTGATTAATTCACCAATAATCGTAATTTTTTCAGCCGATAATACATATGGACCACTCTGTAAGGTGAAAACGGAGGCATAAAATGAGAAGAACGAGCCATCTTCGAGCAGAAGTGCGGGACATATGTATGCCGCGCCGTCGCCGATGTGTTAATATGATAGGTGTAGTTTGAATCACTCTTTCCCTCTTCGAACCATGGTGAAATCTGATCACAGGGAAGTGGTTCGGAGGACCTATGAAGGATGGCAACCATGGGCTGAATGAATGAAACAGCGCCTCAGACCGCAGAGACACTACATCACAAATTGGACAAAGTTATCCATTGCGAAAAAGCCCTTTAACAAGTATAAAAATTATTCAGATGATAATTGTTCACAACATTAAACCCGGCCAACATGTACTTAAAATTTTCAGGGCTTTCAACCACCACTGAGATCAATTGCCACCTTCTTAGATCCACATTATGCACTCAAAGTAGCCCCATAACCAATACAAACTGTTTAAAAACAGGACCATATTTTTACGGAAAAATTGTTTTGTGGATGAGAAGCTCGTTGAAGAAGGGTACGAAGAATGAAAACGAATGAAAATGGAATGCAAAGGATAAAGAAACAACAAAATGAAATCGAAATCTGCTAGAGCAGCTCCAGTCAATTGAATCTGGGATGGTTAAACCACCGTTTACTCGTACTGCAATCGCTGTGCTGTGGCCCTGAACTTCTATTCATTTATTTGTTCATTTATGCACTCATAAGAGTGCAACAATGTTCCCGATTGAATGAAACAAAGTAAAATGAATCAAAAAAGAGGAATAAAAATCAAGGAGAAAGGCAAGGTTGGCGAAAACGGTCCACACAGCAGGATGAGGAAATACTAAAAATGTAACTATGACTAGAATCACTCGTCATGTCAGGGCTTTGTTACAGAAAAACAGCCAGTAGTAAAGTGAGTAACAAGCAGGTATCCACACCAGTTGGCCATGGTGCCAAACTTGAATACTGAACTGCGGTTGTATGAGGAGCCAAATGCTTTCACGAAGAACTATCAGTTATTGCTTGGTTTCACTGCTGCCTGCAGCTTTTGCATGCTGCTTCGATTTATGGTCCTCATTATTGGCAATCATCATGGGCTCCCTTGCTCGAAAATCACCAGTTCATTATTTTACAACTCTTACATAAATCCTTCGGAACACTATCTCTACCCAGATTGAGCACGTCAAGAGAAAGTTGAGGGTTTCGGTGAAGTTCCAAAATCGCTATGAACCCATAAAGCGACATGCTTATTCCTAAACGCTGATTAGACCGCCATCGACGGATGCGCGCCTTTTGGCTTTTTTGCTCGCGTAGTGGAACCGACACGATTTTGTTAGCGCGGCCGCTTCGCCTCGCAGTACTGGGGTTTTGGGTGGTGACAACACAAACATGGATAGCACTAACAAGGAAGTTTTTTCTAGGGCAAGGTGCGCTTTTTGGTAAACGGTTTAGTATTTACATGTTGTAGAGACGCTTGTATAGACTACAAAACCATGTTCGTTCTCGCTGAACGGTTTCAGTAGTACCAAAAAATGTGGTGAATAATACTCTTGATGGCGGGCGGCCACTTGTTGGCTTCAAAATGGTCCTGACGATGAATTTGACATCTGATTTTGATATATAGCGCGACTTGGCACCAAACCGTAGGCGCCAACCCAAATGCAAAATTTAGTTGCCACGGGGGATCAAACCCTTAACAGTAACTTATGCTTCTTTTTTGGTACTGTTATGACCGTTCAGCGAAAATGAAACATAGTTTTGCGCTCCCTACAATATGTACAAAACCGTCTTCAAAAATCGCACCTTGCCCTGAAAGACCTTCCTTGTGAGTCGTTTTGGCAGTGATCAATGCGCACAAAATATCCAGAGTTATATTATATATTATAAAAATATATATTATATATTATGAAAAATAATAAAAAATATATTGTAGATTATATAGAATATTTTTAAAAAAATATATTATAGATTATATTATAAAAATAATAAAATAAATATATTATATATTATAAAAATTTCAACAGAAAATGACGTATACGAGCAACGAAAAAGCAAAATTCATTAGTTCTCACAACAATCCCATCAATAGCAATTTTGCCTTCATTATTTCAATCAATACACACATCTTACCATCCATGCATTTTTATATACCCCTTCTTTCCCATTCACATATTTGTAAAAACAAAAAATGAAGAAAGAAACGAACAGAAGTTTTCGTGAGGTATAGTAAACCTTTCCAAAACTAAAGCATGTCTGGATATTCTGCGGACCACGCTGTTTATACTAGTTATGTCTAGATATGTTCCGGAACAAACACAAAAAAATATAAGTGCTAAGGAAGACTTGGAGATTGCTGTAAAACAATAATCTATGGTTAAGAGGCGAGAGTGAATTAGAGGCTAAGAAATGGTTTGCGAAAATCGAAGCGGAAATGTGAAATAAGTAAGATAACATGAAGGAAAGCAAAACTCGGTCTCGAAGCCCATTAGCGGATGAATTGTGAAAGCACTAATTAGGATTTCAAAGTTTCACTCAGAATGAAAAGGCTCGGCGAAAATGGATGAGGACGGAGATGGAGCAGTGCCAAGGGGTACTACGTGCAAGTCCGTGGGTCAAATCCCAGATCGAGCTCATCACGGCTGTATCCCTTCCAGGTCCAGGTAATCGGTACTAGACTCGACTAGAAAGTAAGAACGGTGGCTTGAAGTTGGCTTGAACTTGGACTGACTCCTGCATGTGATTGCAGTGGCCACTCCTCAGTCACACGCCACAATGAAGAGAAGCACAATACATGACCAATCTTCATCAGCCCTGCCTCAGGTCAGTCCACCCTACCTTTCTGCCAAATTGTATTAATCTCTGCAAAGCAACACCTCCCGGAAATTTCTCTAACTTTTTCATGAGGATGGACACTATTGAGACCAATCCAAATGCGAAAAGAACCACTATGAATGAAATGACGCCAGTCGCCGCCTTCTTCCAAGAATTTCTTTTTTAGTGTATGAACCAGGGGATTTCGTACGGTATAAAAAACAGGGGCGCGTGTATGTGAGGTCAATGAAAGGTATATTTAACCCTGAACGCATAGGTGGAGTCAATCATTCCCGAGTCTTCTCAATGATGGGACGGATTCAGAGAGAAAGAGGCAGACTGCGTCATAATTGAAGCGCAGTGGTCCAACATGCGTTGTCCATACCATCCTATGGAATATGCCTTAATTCATCTGCCATCTTAGAGCTTGGGAATTACATCAAACTATTTATCGTGACAGTGATTTTTGATGAAACGAAATTAGTAAGGATTGAAAAGAGAAAAAATGCCAGGTGGATATACGCTAACAAGTCGCAAACAAGTTCATAGTTTCGAAGAATTCATTTCAAAGAATTTTCTTTGAGTACCGTAATCGGTGAGAGGCACGAAGAACTGTATTCCCTTTCTACAAAACTGTCGAAAGACTTGCTTGAAAACGGAGATTAGAGAAATCACATTTTCTGATCTCAAAAAATGAGGTATGATATTCATGAATAAGCAAACCACAATGATCGAGAGCAGCAAAGAATTTTCAAAGCAAATGAGAACAAGGGAACATCTCGATCAATAAAATGCCTCACCTCCAAGTTCCCGCTACCAGCCTCCGAGGCATTGACATTAAATTTCAACTCTTGCCCAACTAGGCCGACATCTAGACCGTAGACCTGCACCAATCCCGCATCGAACACCTTGAATTACTGCTGATACTTCAAAAAATTCAGCAATATATCAATGATTTAGGAAAACAAGAGACGTCAATCCATATTGGCACTGATCTCACCTGACATGAGAACGGGCTCCCGCGAATGTGTTCCCCTTCGTACAGTATGCCAATTTTCCATACTCCTAAAATACTAGAATTGAAGATAATGCGTAAAAAGACGAAGTACTTAGCTATAATCGGTATTTTTGGAAGCGCCACGCACTTGACATCGATCCAGCTATACAGGCATTTCAATCGCCCTCTACATACCTTGATGACAGGTCTATGTGTATAGAGTTTACCCTTATAGAGAAATCTAGTGCCAATCGACTGTATGCAGAGAGGTAGGGGCTTGATTGCCTAGGCAGCTTTCGATCGGGACCTCACCCCCGTGTGGGTGTTATGTGACAGCGCTGGCCACAACACCATTTATTTTCTTATCAGCCTTACCATTTTTTGAACAACAGACACAATGAAATCGTAAGGGCTGCTAATGACCCCCCCCCCTCCTTCTCAATCTGTGATTAAGCACAAACCGGTCGTTAAACTTATTTCCCCTCAAAGGTGTGACCTGGTCTGGCAGATGGCCAAATCCTTCACCTTCGTTAACGGTCATACTTTTTTATTGACCAGTCGAGGATTCACTCGTTTTGTTGAGACTCATCATAAACTCGTTCGTCACTCGCAAAAGGTCATTAGAATGGCGGATTAGAGAGATTTCGGTTCCGATAAGACATCGACGGTACGGGTACGGCTATGGCACATTATAATGAGTTATTACACTCAAGGATTTGCACCAATATTCAGATACTCGGAATGATTGGATGTTGCGGAAGCTCCAAGAGATGCCGATGATATTTCAGAAATTTTCGAGGCTGTATGCTGTCATGTTGTAGGAGCGAGACAACTTCAAGGACTCGCCACTAGAGTGCGGCCTTCTAAAACACGAGGTAGGTGTGCCGCTTCGGGATGCACTGGTAATATGTTCTCAGAGGGGCGCAATATGGTCTGAACAACGTGTAAAAAAATTGGCAAAGGTTCAAAGAGTTTTCGAAAACGGCTGTTTCATAAAATACGGCAAAATTCCGGAAATACTGCGAGATTTTTGAAATTTCTGGCCATCCCGTTCGTTCGATGGGCACTTTTCAGGTTACATTTGTAGTTTCATCAGTCGTAGGATATCAGATGGGGGATTGCACAAATGATAAGGTCAGGGGCTCATACTAATCCCGCCTTGGTTTGCAAAAACCGATTTTCCTCGGCAAATGGTCCACTCTGGAAACCATAGGTGTGACTACGACTATGAAAAATGATCATGATTTCATCTTTGCCATAATTTCTTTTCTCTTGTTCGAGAACATCTTTTCGAGAACATGGAAAATATCCCAAAAAAAACCACGCACAGGGACAAGGAAATGAAATTAAAAGGAGATGGGACTATAGCGCGCTCGTCATGCGAAGTGCAAGGGTTTCAGTGCCATTCTACAATAAATTTCCCTTATCTCGACGATAATTTTTTTTGGAAATCAGCCAGTGCAAGAAAAACGGGGTACCCGACAAGAGTCCGCCGCGCGACGAAAGGCAGAGACGCAGGCAGGTCAACGGTCGAGTTGCAGCGCGTATTATGACGATTCAGCGTCAAGTTAAATGGAATGTACTACAGTATCCGCTGCGACTCGTTTGATGACCAGTCGACGTCTCTGCCTTTACGCCGCGCGACGGGCTTCCTGTTGGGTACACCAGAAGAACCGGGAGTGGTGAGGGTTCCTGTTCAGCGATGCTTGAACTGCAATTCTGGATGTAAGCACTTCTACCCTTTCTGCTTTTATGGAGTATATCATAACTAAGTTAACAAAAAAAGTCCGCTCGCGAAATAGGAAGTATCCGTGCTCAAAGGAAATTCTGAACACCGTCACGACGCTTTTTATATTGAAGTTCATTTACAGTAATCAGTACCCGTCCAAGCAGTGAAACCCTATTAAGCAACAAAAAACGATCCCATTCTAAGAATTTATATCTTCCAACACTCACCAACTTGCTGAGGTGTGAAACTAGCCGTGTATGAGTTTGCACGTTTCGACACACTACACGGTTGAGCTCGCCCATTTGGTGACACAGCGTCCACCTGCACGGATCCAGCCGCGCAATCGCCATGGGCATTAATCTGAAAGCGACCGAATTAGGCTAAGAGTTCACTGCGTACTGTTTCTCCCCGATCGTACTGATTTTTTCACTCAATACGCTGGCACGGAAAATCTTGGTCATACCCAATTCATCGATTCTCGATAGCCTTGCCGGTTAGTTGGAGATATTATCTAGGGGTCAGCGCCGCTTTCAACCATTCACATCAAGAAAAACAACAATGAACTCTGTAAACTGAAGAATAACCCGGAAGTGCCGCACATTGCAACCTCTATGGAGGAACAATTACATATAGGCCGCAACAAAAAAAACTACTGCTCTCTCTGAAGGCGATCTTGTCACCTTTTCATACTACCGAGTAAAATTCTAAACAGCACTATATCAACATGAATATGTAATGGAGCCTCCAAGGCTTCATGGCGACTTCAACTGAAAATGCCACTAACGGTAGAAAAACTCGCAGAAAGGTTATTTGTGCACATTTTTTCTCATCGATATCTTAACGGATTAAGTGAATGATTTTTATCATTAAAATAATCAAATTCCAAATTCAAGGACTTAGTATTAATGGTATAGCTTTTCAGCCATCGCGTTCACTGCCTTTGAAGATGAAGTGCATATTGTATCTCAAAAAGAACGGCCACTAATTATACTTCAACATTTTTCAAAAATTTCCCACTTTTTTCGTATTTTGACCTAGACCTTTTCCCTACAACTTACAGAGACGGATTTTTTGTGAGTGAATTTCTTATTGGTTTGTTTATAAGTTACAAGTAATCTAGGCCCAGCTCCATCAGGTGAGTTCTAGAGGGATCGTTGCAGCCACAGACTGCTCCAGCAGCTAACCTATGGTGCATTGTTAACTCCTGCTGTTCTCAACTAAACGCTCAGTGTTTCTTCGCTCCGTCTTCAGGACGCTTTGTAGGCTCTTGGAAGTTACCAAACTATCATCCTTAGTTTACTCTCAATTCATTTATCCTTAGAGCAAATCTGCTTTTTATCTTGTATCATTATATTGCTTCCTCATTATGTGCCAACAGTTAAGAATCAACACAGAAGGGCAACGGTAAGGTCATATCGAGCTTGAGGGCCGTTTTCCTAAACCACAAAGCAAGTAATTACGATGCCTACTATTAGGAGAGTGCGGGAACCCTTTCTATCCGACACAAGGTGCGTCCGCATTGCAGTCAAAACAGCAAAAGTGACGAATGTCTCCATAAAAGACATGGTTTTTCTGCCAAACGAAATAATTAGCCTGATGCAATTGTATTCTGAAAACTGGAGTGCCATATGTCAGCCATAGCTATGTACCACACTATCAATTATCAGATTTTTGTGAAGGAGGTCGCTAGTGCTGCATGGTCTGCCCTGGCAGACGCACCTGGCTGTTGGATACAACGGGTGAAGCTCTCGAGGCAGCTTGGATTCGAGCTATTTTCCTAAAGAGCTAATCGGAGAGAGCACTGTCTCACAGCAACGCGAAACGAATCCTCCTAGATGACAAATGGTCCGACTACGGTATCACAAGTGGAGAAAACTTGCTTTACGTCCCTTTGCTGCTTGCATATGTTTATTGGTGAAAACTCTTAGTCTTATAAACCCTTTATAGTGGCTGCCTTTGATGCGAGCTTAAAGCCACTCACCACGGTGCTCGTTTGAGAACACAAAAGACAAGGTCGCAGAGGCAAGGATGTTACCCTCTGCGTAAAAGCAAAAAAGGAAGCATACGCGTTGGTCAATCCTTTTAGAATGCGCCAAGCGTTCTATTTTCACATAGAATCGGAGCGATAATTATGTGATACGGTTGGTTAAATGAGATGCGAAAGTCTACCTAGAAAAACTACCGATTTTACCCTCCCAGACGAGTCCGGTATCACTGGTTTGATCCCATCTCGTGCATCTAGTACCACTTGCCACTGACTGCACCCTCTACTATCCGTCCAGTCTGGTAGCCATCATTGGAGGGATAAAATGCGATAGTCCCGGTGAGGATTCAAACCCATAGTTGACCATCGGGTCGTGCATGTTGTAGGCACCACTCGCCACTCTACCACATCCACTTCGTTATATTCTTTATAGAAGACCATTTTGCAAAGTTGAAAAAGTTTCCCGTTGGTCTAATTTATGGCTGACTTGTCCTCATACTTGATTATCTAGGATCATGCTACCACGTCTCTGTAACAATTTTCAACCTTAGTGGAGGTCTCTATCATGAAGTCGAAGGTCGAAGAAGCGGGAACATACCTAGTGGAAAGGCAGTCGGGCCCCTAAAGGAATCACAATTCGCAGCGAAGGAAATAGAAATGATCTAGCACGGCCTCCCTGCGGCGCTATTGACGCGGTACGCCTACCGACTGGCCAACCATTCGCCGCAGGTCTCTAGCACTTTAGCAGAGAGAGTTTTAGCGTTGAAGAGGGTAGCACCAATAGTAGTATTTGCATTAATGCGATATCAACGGGGGAGCAAGGGATGCCATCTCTCGGGTTCTAGGACAATTTCTGGTTTGTTCTTCATCCGGGCTCCGCTGGCCACCTCTACCTTGACTTGAGTGGGCTGCCTTGTAAACTGTCTCTAAGATGAATGCTGATGATTTCAGGAAATCATTAATCATCACCACTCGGAGGACCATTTATTTCATTATCACCACCATTTATTACCACCATCTTATCGCTATCTACAAAAGTTGCACATTTGGGTTCTGATACGCGAACTGGTTGACACTGAATTGCCTTCTGGCTGGCGTTGACTGACAAAAAAAACAGCACCTTTAACCGACTAAGGTAAAAGAAGAAAGACTTAAAGGTGATGAAAACTTCCGTGCAATAGATTTTTATAAAATGTAGGAGAATAAAATCGATTAGACTTGACTGATCCCATTTTTTGGATGTGCCAGGCATTTGAATTCCTTTCACTATGTCGCTTCTTGAGTGAACACCGCATCTACTGTGACTTGTGTGTTCAGCAGATGTACAAGCCAGTGATATTACCCTCTCGGACAAGTGCGGTATTACTAAACGAGCAAGAACTTATTGGAGGTTTCGATGGCACGGATGAGATTTGATATGAGGTGATGAGTTCTAGACAATGTATGCGGTGATAGCGCCACTTTCCACTGTTCCAGCCAGGGTCAACCATTCTTTGGTAGTTTAAAACGTTGGTTTCGTGTATGGGATTTGAAGAAAGCCGTATTCCACTAATATAATCGAAGCAATTTCGCATTCATTAGACATTTACCCCCCCCCCTCTCCTCCACCTTCTCACTCCGCTCGACGGCGTTTTGGAGAGAAAAAAATCAAAAAAGTGGACGGTGAGGGTGTTGACTGGTCTCAGAATCAAGTAATCAAACACACCAAATATTATAGAGCCCCTAGCGGCTGATGATGGCGGTAAGGGAGGAGCGTCGTATCAAAACTCTCTGGCTGGAAAGGTAGGGATCGCAAAAATTTCAGGGGTTTCAAAGCATCGCGGTTTACCCGATTCCAGCTCCAGTTTGATAAAAACAAAATGGTAAAAATGCGAAAAACGGGTACAAAAAAGAGATGAAAATGATCACGAGGAGCAATACCAAGCCAGCGTCGATGAACTCATCAGTGAGTGTAGCCGTATAGCCACAATGTGCAGCTTCTTTCAATCTCAGGGACCAATTCGTAAATCTTTACATTTTAATTAGGTAAAGAGTAATCCAAACTATCACTTTATTTCCTTTATTTGTTTCATTTTCTTCTTCAAAAGCGATTTTGATCTTATATCAACAATTCATATTTATTTTTTGAAAAGAAAAAATCAAACTTTCGTTTGAATTACTCAGCTTTTTAAGTAATGCTCGCCAGAAATCGTGTCGGGCCGTTAGAATATCGGAAAGGTCTCTGTGCGCTACAAAAGAAGGCGGCCGGTGTGGGTGAGCGAGCGAATTGTGGTAGATGTCCGAACGATTAGTAGGACGATTATATTGCATTGTAATCAAGCATAAACACGATCGTAGACTGCACTTACCACGACTTCCACAATAGAACCGACACTACACGGTTCACTAAGGCCAGAGAACGACACTAGACCGATGTCGGACGATCGTAGCGACATCTCCTCATGCGCTGACGCGTCAGATAATGCTCTCTGAAAGTTGAGCTGGATCAAATACAGTAATGGTGGGCTCTTCTACAACAAGTTACCTTTTCACCTCCACTGCCTTCCTTTGAGCGCACTTCTCTGTGTTGCTGCCCACTTACGCCTTTTTTGTTAGCCTTAATGACATATTTACTTTTCAGGGAAAAGGAAAGATGTGCACTAAGTCCGCCGATGGAGTCAGAGCGCCTAATTTGAAATGTAATTTGCTGTTTCTTCTACATGTACTTCATTTATTTCTGTTCCAGAGAACGTAGTGAGAACGACTGCATCTGAATCATCCCCGGGTACGATTTTTTCGTGCATATTCACCAACCGTGCTATTTTGACTCTCGAGTTGTTTGATGATGTGAAGCCGCCGTTTCGCGAACGACTTGTGTGAGATGTCAACGTCCGAACCGCCCGAATCAGACTTCTGGCCGTCGTTGTCGTCGCTGATCGGTTCGACGTCGTCGCGAGATGAACTCGAATATGCTCGCGATGCTGCTCTCGACTCCTGCGCTGACAACACTTGTAAAGAGATGGGACTCGATGGTAATTCCACCCCTTGGCAGTAGATTCGGACCTGAAATTGTTCCGAATTGAAGACGATGAGCAATGTGCCGTTAAGTCCGTGAATTATGGAATGACGAAATCTTCACTGCTGTAACCGGTATGGAACTAGTTATTGAAGAGGAAAACTTATGAGAAATGTGTTTGCCTCGGATTCATCGACAATTAAGACCAAAGTACATACAGGGATCTCCGAAAGTTTTCCAGTTGGTTTTGCAGGATGCAGCAGGGAAAAATTTCGCTGATGGGTGTTAAGACGGCTGATGAACCACTGATGACTGCTAGGTCCAAACAGTGCCCTGGTAGCGTAACTTGTAGCGCACTTACCCGATAAGCAAGAGCTCCGAGTTCGAGTCCCGCCTGGCGCGAACGTTTTCTTAATAACCTAGTATTCCTGTAAAACTTTCACAAGGCGAACTGCAGCCAAAAGGACCACAACACTGCTAAGACTGTCACAAACGGAAAACGAGGGGTGCAGGTTCGAATCCCGTCCGATGCGAAAGTTTTGTTCACTACCCAGCATTCTTGTGAAATATTCGCAAGGCGAACTGTGGCCAAAAAGAGCAGTTAACAAACAAAAACAAGTCAAAATTCACTGCTATGACTGTTTATTGATCCCGATCAACGCCTATGTTATCTTTCAAAACGGAGTGTGACAACAAGGCCGGAAATGGAATGAACTGAAGTTAATTTAGGAAACTTGTGTGACAAAGAGGAATAACACGAACTAAAATAGCAATGTCGATTGTGATGAAGTACAAAAAAAAACAAAAAGTGAAAGATAAGAGGAATGTCGAGAGAAGGGAAGAGATAGCAAAGGGGATGCCGACATGAGAGAGATCCCCCTCACGCTCGTATCCATCGTCGTTGGGGTGATCCGACTAGCAGCACACCGGATGGATGGATAGCGGATCGTTATGATATTGACCCACAATTTGCAACTATAGGTAACTATGGAATACGTTAGTATTTTACTGCTTACTTTTACCCTGACAGCAAATGAGAATGCACAAAGAACCGTTATCATTCTCTTCAAGGTACACAAGGCACATTACCTACAAGGAAGAAAATGCTCTAAGCCATTCATACAACTCGAAAACTAGTTCCCATTGTATTGATTATTCGGCGAATGTTGATGATCGGCAATAAATTTAAGCCCTGGAATTTCTATCATTGCTTAAGGGATGATAAGATGCGCGCGAATGTGATGAGAAGATTCTTAGTGGGAAATCGATATACATCGGATGCATTGCGTTTTTGACCTACATATCTAGAACACGATACTGGTGGAATCGATTACGTGCCGAGGTAAAAATCGAAAACGAGGCCCATGTGCAGGGTCGACGACAAATTCTTCAGAAAGGTTCAGCTACCAAAACACCATCAATGCGGATCGGAACAGGTTTTTTTTCCTGCCGACGAATACAGCAAATTTGAAGCAAGGGTCAGGAAGCAAAGCACTGAGCCAAAAATCGTTATCGACAGATAACGTGAGTTTGAAATGAATTATAGGAAAACTGTGAGAAAAGTAAATAACAAAGTGACATGCACCGATCAATAACCAGTTACCTATCTATTATTTCCAGTTCCAATTTTTGAAAAAAAAACACTGAGCAAGTCGAAATCATTAAGGTCTAGGGGGCTTCTGAACAGCCGAAGACGGACGAAGTGCTTCAAATATTAGCAATTCATCAGATGCACCGTCTGACGATACCACGCCGAATAATCGAACATTCGAATGACCGGACGAACGGGCGATTAGAGTAACGCAAACTTGTTACTTACAAGTAGCAGAGGTACTCCAGTAACCCTGCTACCCTGCTTCAAATTTTTCTATCAAATATTGAACGTATACTTCTATGGAATAAAATATTTCATGTAGAGTATGAAGAACAAGAGTATAAAAATATCATTGCAGTAATGGGGCACTACCATATTTAGGCTAGGGGTCCCATCCAGTAAGGGGGGACACTACATTGCATAATCTGCTCTAATGCGAAGCTGATTAAAGTCCTTTCAAGTTACGAATCGCTATGAACTAGATGCGTTTTTGTGCTGGATATTACAAACGACTACGAAAAGTGATACTCACCTCGTGAGCAGTTAAGACTACACCTAGGAAGGGGGAGGAAGTCCCGGCGGAAAACGAAGATTGCTAACGGACCCGGGTGTATCCCCCTTTTAGGGCTTGGTCCTAAACCCTTACAAAAAAGTATGCTTTCTGTTGAACACCCTGATTCCTAACGTCCCCCGTCCCCTGAATGAGACCTTACGAAACTTTATTGCCTTGCCAAATTTGAATCGTACAGTAAACTAGTGGAATATTCAATTATTCACGCACAATTTCAATACCATTAAAGGGCGGCCCATGTAGAAGCAGCTCTATCAATGAAGAATACGCTTAAAACGTCAACCAATCGCCGCTATACAACTAACAATGACTAACTAGTAACTGCCATTCAAATTCGTACCAAACACTCACCGCTCACGGCGCGCAGTAATGACTAGTCGTATTGTGAACACCCTCGTACAACTGTCTAGCGACTAGTTTTGGGTGTTTTTTTTTAGGCTCAGGGAATCCTCTGACATCATTTGGCATACTGACCGAGACTGGAAGGGAACGGGTGAAGGACGGCAAAGGCTAATGAATTGATGAAGATGATGACCGGATGACCGGAACGAAACGAATGCCACGCGGGCATTTGTCTTCATCCTTTAGCGGAAGTCAGCAGTCAGTTTTTTTCTTCCTTTCGTCAGATACGTGGCCACGGAGAACGTTTCGACGGCTACCGTTGTAATACGCGAATCTATCGAATTGTTCAAACACCGTCATATTACCCAACCATTCCACGTTCATCCCTATTATAATAACTGTTGCGGTGAGACAGTAATTTTCAAGATAATATCGATTTTTGTACTGCACAAAAAGCTGCCCACACCTTTTTTTAGTACAATAAATGCGCACGAGATTCGTGCGCAGCGGGTTTCTGCTGCATGGAAGGTCAAGGTAGTAACGGGAAAGGTTCGGGCTATCGCTCCTGTCATAACAATGAGCATGAGAGCTCAGACTTTCAGAAACAAATTCTAGACTCATGCCGAGTTATTTGAAAGGTTCGCGCCGTGATGTGCGAAAATAGACCTTCACAAGAGCTGCTGTGAAAAAGGACTTCTTTAGAAGAAGTGATCAATAATCAAATTTTTCGAGGGCTGACCAGATAGGGCTGCCGAAACAGAAGCGTAAATAGAAGCCGTTTGGTTGAGTATTGAAAGCGTAACACGTGAAGGTGGTGCTTGACTGAAAGGGCCGTGAAAAGGTGTGGCGTTGTAGGCGGAGCCGAGTTGGCAATAAATACGCCAAGGTCTCTCCATCTCGGACGGTGGTGCGCTGGTGCTATGTGTGGCGCAGTTCAGCGCACTGCGTTGCGCTGCACAGCCAGGTCGTCGGACCGACCGGCCGGGATCTCCTCTCACTCTGCAACTGAATGGCACAAATTAGAATAGATGCGACGGCGGGCGGGTCGATTGCCCCGCTACCGTGCGAGGATAACCGTCTAGGGGAGCGACCCCCTCGTACATCTCAGCTGCCGCCTCGGCGACTGACATTACCGTGAGTCGCACTCAAAAGGGAACATACCGATCGCGTGGTCACCCCCGCTGAGATGAAACAACAAACAATTTGAAGGCGTCGAAAATTAACTGTATCGAAACATATCTCGCGCCGGCAAGGGACTTTACAACGAGAACGTAGGGAACACGCCTCTCCATCGCTATTCCATTGGGAATCAATGGCCATCGAGCGATCGCTAATTCATTTTCTATTCAACGACAAGAAAGCCAGTGACAACGGTGACGTCAATGCCGACATCGATCCGAAGAAAGGATTTTTTGCTCCTATGAATTAGTTAAAATCAAAAACTAAGGGCAAAAAGTTCGGATGTGGCAGAAACTTCAGTAAATGTAATGACTTCTCAAACTCTCGTGCCTCCTTCAGACGTCAAATCAGGAAATTTTTTTAGGAACATTCTTTATCGACAGCGTCAGAAGATTCTCTCAAGGGAATTATGGATCTTCAGACTGGACGAGGTTTCCGATAAATCGTGAGCCATAACGACCTAACCTGGGAGGCTGGTCGGAAGAGGTCTTGCATATTCAGACCTATTGTCTTTAGGTAGCTATCCAACACTGAACCAATTGAAAAAATTATGTAGCAGCTTCAGGTTGAAGCAATTACGGTAGCTCTCCTGGTTCAATTGCGAAAGCAAATGACGTCATATTCTGAAGACGGTGGAAACAATGAAGGGGGCCTCCCTTTGCGTATAGAGGTGGGGGGGGGGACACCTAAGGAATATTTTGCCGTAAAAATTCCATCAGCAGCGGCATTGTACGCGACGAAAAGTTTGGTGATGTGCGTCATGGGCGAGGTGACTTTTTTGGAGTACATACATACGTTTGTTGCTGTAGCGTCCTGCTTTGTATTTCTTCCTGACATTGCCCACACAAGGTATTGAATAAATAAATAAACAATCGAATGAATAAACAAATAAATAAACGACAAAATAAATTGTTCTGCTAGAACATGCCACAACTGCGCAGATTTATGTAGTTGCCGCTAATGTGACGACGGTTAATGGGTGAGGTATCCCTTTCAAAAATGATTTTGCCATAAACAATCGAGTGCATTTAATGCAAAAAAATGTGGATTTTTGGAAGAAAGAGCTCATCTAGACAAAGCACAGTACGAACAGAAAGGTCGAATAATCTTTGGAAATAGCAATAATCCCCCATCGGCATTTTTGGGCTCGTACCACTGTGTTCTGTGCGTCATAGGGAGAAAGCCCTATACAGGGTTGCTCTTCGTCAAATCGAGTCAGTCAGTCGGGGAGGAAATTTGGTTTAAACGAAATCCCTTTCCCAAGCGCCAGAGTGATACACTCATTCAGGGTCCTACCACCCACATCCGTCTCTGTTCGCTACTCTCAACCAGGGTCAATCCTACGTTGTTACTAGTAACAA